GTGTGCTGCCGAGCCGGCGCGCGCGCGCCAAGGAGAAGGACGGCGGCGACGACGAAGGAAGGAAGGGAAAAAAAAAAAAAGAAGGGGGAAGGGAGGGGGCAGGCGCGAGGCGACGGGTAAAGCAGTCGCCGGCTTTTGCCCGCCTGCCCGCTCGCTCTCGTCCTCTCAGCCTCGCGCTCCCTTCCCCCCGCCTTCTCAGAAACGGGCGGTTCCCCTCCCGATCCCCCCCTTTAGGGAAACAGCAGCCTTCGCTCCTCCCCCCTCAGGTGCAGATGCAACCGCCCCACCCCTCCAGCAAGACCGAAAGGCAGCTTCGTTCCCCCCCGCGTCTCTTCAGGGTAACCCCCCCCCTCCAAGGGTGGGAACAGCCTTTCTCCACCCCCCCGCCTCGTTTCATAGGTGTGTCTCAGTGCGTGCAACAACGTCCCCGTTTCCCAGCAAAAACGGGGGGGACGTGGGTAGTGCTTCCCACCCATCCACCCACCCACCCCCTTTTTTCCTGTCAGGCCACAGCCTAGCGCCCCCACATCAGGAGCAGACAAAAGAGGCTTCCTCTGGGCCTGTGGTAAGGGGCCATTCCCCCCTCGCCCCCCAGTCCTCAAGCAAGGAGCAGCTCCCGTTGCGAATGGAGGTGGCAGCAGCTAGGCCCCTGCCAGGGTTTGTGCAAGAGGCTGTTTCTCGGCCCTGCCCAGCAGTGGCTCCCTGGGCTGGAGAAGGAGGCCTTCGGCCATTGCACAGCCTTGCTTTAAGGGCCCCCTGCAGTCCGGAGAAGGGGTGCTTTGGGCCTCCTAAGGGGGAGCTGGAAGATGTCCCCCTCGGGCCTGTTTGTGTTGTAAGGCTCCCAGATTTGTGAGGGCGTGAAAAGGTGCTCAAGCTGGACTTGAGAAGGAAACCCAGCTGCTTTTGGAAACCCATTTTCTGAAGTATAGAACCCAGTCTCCTTAAAAGCCTGAAGGACGCGCTATCACAATTTCTGATGTTTAGATATTGAAGGGTTCCAGTTTTGTAAAGGTTTTCTGAATTAAACATGGACAGAGTTTGAGGAGAAATGGAATATTTTATTGCCAAGAAGTAGGGTATTGTTCACTGCACTTTGGTTTGTGGATTAAATTGAAGATCTTTCTATTGATGGTTGCAAGCCTTATTTTGCAACAACTCTGGAGAATTTCAAATTCTGTTGCTCATCTTTTAAAACCACTTTTTATAAAATTCTGCAGTTTTAATTTTCTATTTTTCCCTTTAATCAAATTTTTATTTTGTCATAGAACAGCATAATTTCCTTTAAACATTTGTTTTATTTTTATCAGAGTTCAGACCTGCAGTACTAGTTTTTTAAAAAAAAAATAATAAAGTACTATCCTGAAAATCAGTATAATGCAAGTGAATATCTAGCATCTTGGCAGATAATTGAAATATTTTGGTTGATTAATCTTCCTGCTGTTAAAGTGATGTTTTTAATCAAACTTGCATATCACCGACCCCTCCCTCCACCAGTACGAGTGCCTTTTTGGTATTTTAAAATACAGTTTATGAAAAATAAGGCATTTTCACTTTTTTTTTTAAACTACACAAGTTTGTTTCAACATTTACTATTCAGTTCTCTTTCCCAGGCCTAGAATTATTGCTGCTTCCAGAGCCATCCTAGATGGAAAAATGGCAGATTCTCTAAATGATACTGAGGCCAAGTTGGTTTTGACAAGTTTCTGGTGGGAGAAAATTATGTAACTCTGCAGCTCATAAGAGAATTGAAGTGTTTTTTATATCTGCACCAGCATATTGACTGAATTATGACATTGTTAGCACACCAAAACTACAATGCAAAAAAAAGTTTATTTGCATTAACGTTACTTGATAACAGTCGCTGCTGTGAGATGGGCAGCCATATAAATTACCTAAATAAGTAAAAAAAAATCCCTAAAATTCTGGTTGGTATAATTTTTTTTCCTGTTTATATCTAATGAATTCCTCGCCCCCTCATGGTTTTATAAAGTATCTCACATCCATCTTTTTTGCTTTAACAAGTTATCAATGTATCAGTTGCTTAGGTACCTTGTTCAAAACTATCCCTATTCTAGTTTTATCTAGTGATAAATGATTATGCAACAATAAAATGATAAGACATAAATGAAGTATGTGCTTTTTATAGATGATGCATCTTAAGAACACAGGTTGTTTTTAAAAATACTAGTATATGTATGCTTGGAAATAGGTATATTGATCAGAATGTCAGATTAAATAGTGAATGTAGTTTTGAGTGAATGTGAGTTAAAATTCCTTTTATAGGTAGTCCTTGTTTAACGACCGCAACTGGGACCAGAATTTAGGTCGCTAAGTGGTGTGGTTAAGCAAATAATCACGTGACCGGTCCCAATTTTATGACTTTTTTGTGGTGGTTGTTAAGCAAATCATGTGGTCGTTAAGTGAATTGCACGGTTCCCCGTTGATTTTGCTTGCCAGAAGCTAGCTGGGAACATCAAAAATGGTGATCACATGACGCCGGGACGCTGCAACTGTCATAAGCGCGAGCTGGTTGCCAAGCACCCAGATTGCAGTCACATGACTCTGGGGGCACTGCAACAGTTGCAACTTTGGGCACTGCTGTAATTCACTTTTTAGTGCTGTTGTAACTTTGAATGGTCACTAAATGAATAGTCATTAAGTGAGGATTATCTATACTCTTTTTATTTTAAGGACACTCCTTTCCCAGGATTTTCCCAAAATGTATGCTATGGCCTAAAAATATAGATATTGAACTTTTGCTACTTGTTTTCACTATTGGTATAAGACAAAAATAAGTACTAGTGAATGGCATCTAAATGAGCAAATGTTTAATTGAAGGACTTAGAAAAGGGAAGTATTGATGAATTTCACTCTGCAAACATCATGAATTTTCATGCATAATTTTGGATATATAAGTTATTTGCCCTGTTACCAAATTAAGCTGTCCACAGACAAAATAATCATATGCATGCTTTAAAAAATAATTTTTTGTTTTATATACTGCCATTCTTGTTAAGAGTACTAGAGTGTTACACAAAGCAATAAAAGAATAGCTTCATAATTAAAAATAGGATAGTATGCCAAAATGTATACTGTTCATAAAACCACAACAAGCATATAAAACTGCAACAAAAAGAGCTACACTAAAAGGACAAAGCTGTTTGGCATAAGAAACAAATGGATTAAATAATTGTTCAGAGGTTTTAGTTTTTCCTTAGAAACAATTAGTTTTGAAAGCTCTGCATGTTACAATTTCATTGTCAATTACTGAATTCCTTAGACAATGTTGACTGAAGACATAGCCCCATCGCTTCTTTTTTTTTCTCTGTGTTTAGGGAACAACCTCAAATACAGACACAGAAGTGATTAAATATGGACCAGTACCATCTCAGCGATGACAGCTCACTCCATTCTGAAATGCAGCTCCCTGAGTTTTCTGGGAATCAGACTTTGGACTGTAGTGATACATTCAGCCATGATCTTTGTCCAGATATGAGAGACATGATTTATTCTGGACTGAGCAATCTGGATGTGGATCCCAGCCTTTCAGCTACAAATATGAACAGTGATTCATTGGAAGACAACCTGGACACCTTGTCTTTGTATTCAGTAAAGGACTGTGATTCTGCTAAACTCCTTGATGATTGTGATACGGACTCACGACCACTTTTGCGTGGTGAGTAACCCTGTGCAGAGGTAATGTGTAACGTGTATAAGAGGAAGTGTTTTATTTCAGCTACATATTCAAGTCGTTTGCCTTATTAAACTACGTTATTTCAGCTAAGATAGCATTCCTTAGTTGGATGTTTTCCAGAATTGTTGGGATTTCAACTGTCCAGAATTCTCAGCCAGTATGGAGAAATAGCTGTGCCAGGAGGTTATTTCTTAATTGTATATTCTGCATATACAAGGCTAATGGTAAAAGGAGAGGTAATTTTTATGTGATGGCACCAAGTTTTTGAACTGCCTTCCTCAGAGCAGCTCTTGTGGTATGTTCATAACAGCATCTGGTGAAGACTTTATTTTTCTTGATATTTTAAGAACCTTTAAATGTTTTTATGTATTGGTACTATTTTATATTGCTGCTGTTTTTATGTTGTGTCACTTTACTGCATTGCTTTTAACGCATTGCTATAGGTTTTATCTTGCTTCATTATATGCTCTTTTGTCATTGCTGACTGTTTTGTTTTTTATATTTCAGGAATAACTCTGGTTGCTAAGTGGTCTAAAAGTGTAATAAATGAATAATTGCCAGAATTTAGCTCTGCATGTACACTTTAAACCATAGTCTGTGGTTTGAAAACCACTGGGGCTAAGCAAAAACCAAACCACAGTATGCCTTAGCACACTATGTGTAACATTAAGCCATCCTAGTAAGCCATAATGTGGGTTCTTTGTTTTGGCTTAGCATGTCACATGAACACAACCTATATAGTTTGTTAATCATGGTTTAGTTTGTGGTAAAGCACACATTGTTTCATATGTGTGAATGTCATAAATACTGGAATTAATATAATTTCTCCTACCATTTTTGCAGCACATGATGTCTCAGGTGCTGCTTCTTCTCTGGCACATGAGATACAAATATAGATCAGTTGTATCTACTGAAACATTTTGGAATCCTTTTGTACACTTAGCACGATCTGTGAACCCTGCCTAAATTTCTTATCTTGAATGCCAGAAGGCTTCATTACTTCATTAAGCCTTACCACAATCCTCCAAGGTAGGATAGCATTATCCAGATATTGCAGAGAAAGTTGCTTGTGTGGCTTGAACCTGAGCCTTCTTAGATCACTCTAATACTGTGTGCCTTGCACCAGAGACCGTGTAGATGAACTAAAAGTTGGTATTACTCATTCAGAATTGGGGCTTCCTGCCCCTTCAGCACATAAAGAAGTGGAGCAAGGAGGCAGATCCGGTTCTGGCAGTGGAAAGAAAGGAAGACTGCAGCAAAACTCGCTTCAAGCCCCTTTCTTGGATTGCAGCCTCTGTGGGAAAGTTTTCAGTAGCACCAGTTCTCTCAGTAAACACTATGTGACTCATAGCCAGGAACGGAAACATGTCTGTAAGATCTGCAGCAAAGCTTTTAAGCGACAGGATCACTTGTATGTATCTTTTTGGCAAAAATGATTTAAATGCTGTATAGATGATAAGTGCTATGGATGAAATCTGCCCAGCGCCATACAGGTGCTCACTGAGTGGGCACTCTATAGTAATATGTGATGTAACCTTTCTGTCATGAAAAAGGCAAAACTGAAAGTTTAGGAGTAGCTCTGCTTAATGTAGTATGGAGCTACTAGAACTCTACAGTGTAGCACGTTTTCATGTATTGTACAGCACTAGTTTAGTGTGGATTCCAGGGATAAGGTGGCAGCTGAAAAGAAGAAAGGTTTTCTAATATTTGGAAAAAAATATTAGTCCTCTAACAGTTTGGAGGCTGTTGAATGATGGATTGTGGGAACAGAGACTGCACAGGGAAATACCATTAGCCAAAATAAGTTAAATTGCTAGCAAATTATTAATACTATTTTCCCTTAGAACATATCCACCCTGCCATATCCACAACCCTCTGGTGGTTGAGGGGAAGTCACAAAGTGAGAAATTTGCACGAAAACTGGAAGCATGTAGCCTGGGTCTAGCGATCATTGATAAATTTGTGCTTGGTGGTATCTTTTCAGTCTGGAGGCAAAGGCTAAAATGAGGAAATGTAACTCTAAACAGAAAAGCCCTTGTAGATTGAAAGAAAGCACATTGTGTCAGAAGGCTTCTGACACTTCCACTTTGATACCTGGTTTAAACATTTTTTATATATATGGAGGAGTATTCAGCCTTATAAATCTTCACCCGCAGCATAAAATGCTAGGGGGGCCTGGTTCACACACTGCTTATTCAGTCTTGCCTTCCTTATTCTGTGAGCCGTGCCCATTTCTAGGGTCAGAGCAGCTGAGAAGACAGTAATCAGAGAAGTCATTTTGGCTGCTTAATCTGTCTTCGTTAGAAAGGCAGCTGATATATTCATTGCTATAGGCTGCACCATAATATTCCTTTTCTTGCTTCATCATATATATTAATGTATGATGAGGGAAGTGATTTTAGTATTTGGTAGCAATAACAGTTAAGCCTAGACTTTTCTTGCATGTTTCATGGTTTAATCTTTTATTTTTTAAACAAACCTTAGGAGTGGTCATATGCTGACACACCAAAAAACAAAGCCATTCATTTGCATAGAACAAGGTTGCAATAAGAGCTACTCAGACCATCGATCACTGCGCCGGCATTACGAAATGCATCATGGCTTGAGGTTGTTAAAGGATGATGAAGCATGTGAGGGCATGCCACCTTCACACGATTCACATACCCAGATGGGACATAGCAGTTTGAGAACTGCAGAAAGTCTGGCTGTTCATCCAGAATCACAAGCGCCCAGTAATTCCGTCCTGCCCAACAGAGACCTGCTAAGATGTATTGTTAGTAGCTTAGTCAGTCCAAAGCTTCCGTCTGCTCCTTCACCATCTACAGGACAGAATGAAACTGACTCCAGGGGACCCTTACAACCTTGCACCTCTGTCTGTGGTCAGATTTCATGTGTTTCCACGAGCACTACTGCACTCAAAGACACCACTGGTGATAAAGTGATGAAGGAAATTTATCCTTGCCAAAACAATACACCTTCATCCAGCATGTACACTATAATCAATCCTGGGAATTTATCTATGCTTGGGCCATCAGAAAACATGACAAATTTGTCAGACAGGCAGTCCCATTCAGAACATCAGTTCCCTTTAGAAACCAGAGCCTTGGAGTACTGGTCAAACAGTGGTGTACCTCGCTTTCCATTATTCAGAGGCCAGAAGATTCCTACTACCACTCATCAGCCAAGTGGCAGCTTCCAGTGGGTCAGAAATGTATCCCCAGTTGGCACCAAAAACAAAGGAAATGGTGTTTATGTTGCTCAGCTATCATCTGCAGGTCAAGATGTTTCTCAAGGGATGGTGGGACCTTCCCATGTGTTTGACTCAGTGACACCCAGCTTTGAATGTCCAGATGTTTTATCATTCACTCCAGCCCTTTTAAAGACCCAAGGGGAAATTTCTGGAGAGCCCAAACTCAGTGGCTTTGAAGAAACATTTAATCCAGCAGCAAGACTTCCAGATGCTCCAAAACATAGCCTACTTCAGAAGGGTGAGGCCAGACCATTGTTCAGGCAGCTCTTTATGAAATCCCAGGAATCCACTTTGAATCAGGATCAGCTACAAGTCCAGAGTCATCTTTTCCAGAGGATCACCAAATCTCAACACATTGTGTCCCATACCCAAGTGTTAGCTCCATCGCAGCTGGCAGCTGTAGAGACAGAACATATGGTAGCAAAATCACTTCCCAGTGTGTTTCAGCAGCAAACAGATTTGATTCATCCAGTTCTAGAACCAATGGAAAGTGAAGGGCCTTCTTTGTCTCTGAAAAAGGCTTTGACTCAGTTTCAAAAAGACTTTTCATCTGATACTGAGAAAGAAGGGGATCAGCCGCCTCTGCAGTCCTTTCAGTCGTCTACCATACCCTCTGTAACCACAAACAGTATTCCTCATGCTAAGCAGTCCCTGTCTTTAAAAGGATGTCTAGAGTTTAAAGACTTTTCCAGCTCTAATCAGTCAGGATTGTATGAAAACACCCCAGGGAATCACACTTACGGGAAGCCAAGGGAGTTGGAAAATGGTTCTCCTTTACCAAGAAAGAAAGAGAAGAGCAAGACTTGTACTAAAGAATCAGGCAGCAAAGGGCATTCTCGCAGTGGTAGACCCCGCCGGAAGGAGAAACCGAAGTTTGATATAACTTCCGTGGCTTCTCCTAGTCAAGTAGCCATGGCTTCATTTTCCTTGCCTAGTACCTCATTTGATAGTGTATCCAGAGCGAAGCCCAAGCTGACTATTTTCAACAGAATTCAGGCATGTTTTAAGGCTTCTTTTTAGAAATCAGAAGTAGAATCCTTAACGCATATGAAGGTTCCTCAAAGTTTTGGGGCTGATGGGTGCATTTGGAATGAGTACACATGTTTGAGGAAATGTTGGCAGCCATGGAAGGGCTTGCCCTTGACATGAAAGAGCCACTAGGGTGGGCTTGGATCTAAAAGAAGTAGAAAATGTTCGTTTTTTTTTAAATGATGAGAGTTCGAAATGGCCCAAAAAACAGTAGAGTACAAAAGAAAGGTGAGGTCCAAAAGACCGTTTCACTGAAGACAAACTAGTGATGTTCCGTGAGGTACATAAAGGCAGTACACCCATTCATACATCATAGATCCATGTGAACTCCCCACCATTGCGCAAAGCAAAAAGGCAAATGTGGATACAATCTTGGAAAAACATGGAACAAAGAATAAATTAGACAAAATTCCACACATGTAAAGCAAAACCAAGTGAAAAACACTTCCACAAACACGCAGAGGCAAAACACACAATGTTTGAATGTTTTTAAATGCAGGCAAAAGTTATTGCTGCCTTTTTTTTTTTTCCTGGTGGCAGCACATACCTCAGATTAATGTACTGGACTATAGCCACTGGCTACATTTATGTAAGAAAGATTCTGGTAATCTGGGTTTAAAATATGATGACCTGTTTTTTAATTGAAAAAAAAAAAAGTGCTGAGACATTGGTGGGCACAAAAGAGAGGCCTACAGTTACCATGTTGGGGACCCTGTATGTATGTCAGGGTACTTAATAGTGTAGTTGCAAAAACATGTAATTGATAGTAGTATATTTATTGGAAATAATAACATGACTCTTCCTCTACTGTTGGCTATGAGTTCCTTTCCTTTTTAACAATTCATTATGAATTAAGGGTGTAGGAGCCAACAATATTGATTTTGCTCATAATTTGACCATAGTCCAGGACATGAACTTTTTGGCTTCCTTCTTCCAATATGAGTGAAAAATAGACATATTTGGAGCATTTCCTATGGGTGCCTTATCTGTGCATTTGCCTTGGTGTTTGTCCTCATAGAAAAAATTAGCTGTAGCAGTTATGTTATGGTGCACATGTCTAGACAGAATACAACAAGAAGACCCTGATAGTATACAAGGTCAGTTGCAATTTTGATTTTCACTTTCATTGGAAAAGCAGTAATTTATTATTGCTAGGAGCTGCCTAATTTCAGCAGGTGGTAGCTCTTTGGGCTTGGTGGGAGACTTCCAGGGAATTTCATGGGTGTAGGCTAAAAACTCCAAATCCATCCTGGAAGAAAACAATGACAAACCACTTTTTTACTGCTTGTATATGTATATATATCTATGTAAACACCAGGAATCAAGCTTGATTTCAGGGTGTCTTATGTAAAGAAACTGCCTGCACATTTATTATGAAAAGTTTATGATACTCTTTATCTTGTAAAAGCTTTTAAAGAATAGAGCTCATTTGGAGATTAAAAAAAACTTGTTTAAGTTTTAAAGAAAAAAAATAAATGTATTTAATTTCTTTTTTAAAAAAAACAGGGTGGAAATATCTACAGCTTTACTAATGCAGTGAGGGACGAATACTTTTCCCCTGGATGGTAAGCAGGGCTTGATGATGTTTTAATACTGCTTAAAAATAAGCAATATATATTTTTATTTGGTAGACTTAAATATTTTATTTGGTAGGCATCCATGTGAACAATAACAGTCATTTTATGCTCTTTCATTGGGTCAGAAAGAGTTTGCAAAGATTATGCTTATCAGCTGGAAGTTGCTACATTGAGAAGCTGTTATACTATCGGTGTGCAAAGGGATGTTTCATGTGTTTCTAATTCTGTATATTTTAGCATTTCAAAATCTAGTGCTATTCATGCCTCTGTTTCTCATAAAAAGACAAAATATCCGTTATATACATACCACAGTAAATAAACATTATAAATATATATATTTAAAATAAATTAAGTAAATGAAAAATAAATAATTACAAATATGGCTACAAAACAAATATCCTTTATCTTAGCTGGATAAATTATCAGAGATACACTCCAGCTTTTGTAATACAGTCCATAAAAGTCCTTATTCAGGTCATTGTGAGATGCACTGGTCATGTTCTCTGAAAGAACTTGTCCTATCTGATAAAGGCATCCAGAAAAATAATCCAAAAGAGAGCTAAACTCTGGCCCACTAATAATAATAATTCTTAATATTGGTTTATCAGAGACAGAATTTGGAAAAAGCCAGTCAGAAAGCTTAAGCTAATAGGAGGTTTCCGTCCTTAGTGCTAGTAAAGCTGAGTTAAGTAAATATACTCCCAGCTTTTAACAGATTTTAATTCAGTCCTTATATGAGGAAGACACTCAGGCAAGCAGAGAGGCGCTTCCAAAGAGGGAATTTCAAAAGCGATTTATGAGAAGGTACACAAAGAAAAGGAGCACTAAATCTGATTGGGCTGGCAGATGGCCCTAAGCAGCTCTTTGGCTCCCAGTTGTTATCTCTCGGACAGCCCTTGTTTATATACGATGCCCCAGTGGGGTTCCTTCTCCAGTTAGCAGTTCAATGGTAAATAAACCATGGAAGTTCTCCCCCCCCCCCATGAACTGAAGTACAAGAATATAGTTGTGCTTGTCATAAGGTTGGAGTATAAATCATAATATCATGGAAATTCAAGCTTCCTAATATGTTTTTCACCTTTCTCACGTCAATTGTTGCCAACAGTAGTAAGACTGGGGGAGGTCCTGGAGACAGGAATGAGCAAGGAAGCAGTTTTGTCTGTGCAACCTGCAATCAGCTGTTTTACACCGAACGGGGCCTGAGCAGTCATATGTGTTTCTATGGTGAGCAGTGGCAGTCTCCATCAGGGAAGGAGAAGCAGCAGGTAAAAGGAAAATCACCTGGTAAATGAATGCTTTTTATTGCTGATGCTGATTATTTACGTAGCACACAGAGAAAGGGTATAATAGCGGATAATGAATCTCAGTGTTTCAGCCAGACCTATTCTGTAGAGGGGCAGTGCAGATTCTGCTCTCTGTGGTCCTTATATTTGATCACCAGATCTTTCTTTAACTTTCCAGAAGAAGGCTACATACTGCACTTCTTGTTTCTGAGTGTAGCTGTTTTTTTAAAATCAAACATTGCCAGGATGCATTCAGGGGGATAAAATGTCATCTTTTCACATGCCAAGAAAGATGCGCTGCTTTCATCCTCTTCCCAGACTGTTGCACTGCAGAACCCCATTACTATCATACTTCCTTGTTCTGAGGAAGCTCAAGGCAGCTAATAATCCATGTAGAAGAATAACCCATAGCATTAAAAATGCCTCTTGCCAGTGGGGATATCAAAATACCTTAAATAAGATAATGGCAATAATGTATGTGAAATGCTTTGAATGTTGGGAAATCGCTACATAAATGCTAATAATTGTTTGTTTGTTTATTAAATTTGTATGCCGCCCGTCTCCCCCAGAGGGTGACTCTGGGTGGCTCACAGTTAGATAATCATTAACATACAACCCAGACTTTTGAATATTTACTTGAATGTATCCCAGCATGATTATTACTTGGGGTTGACTCCCAAGAAGGTATGGATAGAATTGCAGAAGTAAGCCCCACTAAATGTAATGAAATTTAACTGCCACCTAAATCTATTTAGGATTGCAGTTATAACAGCTTTGAAAGGAGGAGTGCTTTATGTTTTTTATTCCATTAGATATTTTCTTTCCATTCCTTTTTAAATCTTAAATATTTGTTTCCTGATTATGTCCTTCGGGAAGAGCAACACAGAACCTGAAATAAAATAGTATTATAGTTTGTAGTCTTGTTGCTAGAATACATATTTCTTTTTATATTTCCTTTAAGGCATATGAGGCAGAGCATTTACATCCTCAGAAATGGCCCTTCAAGGCAGCAGGGGACCGAGATATTCCTCCTGAAACTAAAAGGCCTTCAGAAGATGTAGCAGTAGCACCTCTTGTAATTCCTGTCTCGGTACCCGTAATGGCTACAAATCAACAGCAAGAGAGCAAAGTGGGTGGTGATTTGTAGTGTTAATTTCAGATTACGAAGATAAATGAATTGTTCAAGTTCTGATTAATATAGACTTTCATGGAACTTTACATGTAATCCAGTAATATATTTAAAGTTCCTCCCTATGCAGAATTTTAGGAAGAAGTCTCCATTGCCATTTTGAATAATAAGAAATTAAAAGTATTTTATTGCCTGTCCTTTAAAGTGAGGCAAACAGTTGCAAATTATGAGCATTGTTTTTCTGCACCTTATAGCTGATTATATTGCATGGCCTGTGAAAATAGGAAAGTAAAATATATACGAAAAACAAATCCTTTGCAGACTTAAAGCTCCAAAGCTTGTGGCAATGATGAGAAATATTCTTCAGTCTTTTTGTAAGATGTTTGGGCTTGACTGTGTCTTCAGGGGCATAAAGATATCTGCAATACAGTTCCAGACTTAAACTAGACTAATAGCCTTCTCCTTTAGTTTGTAATACTTATTTTGTTCACATCTCAGCTTTCAGAATGAAACTAGAGTTGCGGCACATAGAGTTCTCGGGCAGTCCCTCAGTCAGAATTGTTGGACTAAGTACCTTTACGTTACAGCCCTAGAACCATTTGTTTATTTAGCATTTATATAGTGCTTTGTTAAGATTGATCTTCACATACATTATCTTTTAAGTGTTATATCTGCCTGTAAGGGCTGGCTATCCCCATAGTGCAAATGGGGCCTGCTGGGAAGTGGCTGAGAATACAGTGGTTTGCTTAAGGCCACCTAATCAAGTCATGACCCAGTTGTGATCCAGATCAACAGCATCCTGATTGGTAGCTCAGCCTCATAACCATGTTTATGTCACAAGTCCAATCCTAAAGAAAGCAGGCTACCCATATTCCGTTACTTCTCCTTTCTGTTGGACCTAGCAGTTCTCCCTGCCTTCTGCTTTATAGTGGTTCACCTTCTTAAATTCCTAGACAGGGATTTCTCAGTGTCTCTCCTGTCCCTCTCCTAAAGAAAGACTGCAACCATCTTATCCTGAAAAGATATGGTAGGACTGCTGTTGAGTAACATCAGTTGGAGGAATAGAAATCTCCGTTTTATATCCCTAGATAGACTACAGGTGTATCCATTTTAAAGGCTCCCTAGATTTGGGGCCTGCCAGGTAGCATCAGCTGTTACCAATGCTAGGTGAGAGAGTGAAACCCTAGGTCAGTATTTATAGAGGGATATGCTGTAGCTGGAGAAACAGAATAGTGATGTCATAATCCTGTCACCAATGGGGTTAGCATTTTCAGTTTCCCTCCAGGATTGCAGTTTTCAGCCTTCTTTAAAGTACTTTTTAATGAAAACTATACTGTAGCAGCAATTCTTTTTTATTTGGCTATTGATTTTTTCCCTATGGCTATTCACTGTTGAGATTCTGAAATCCTCTGGGCATGGGGCAGGTGGTATAGATAAAGGATTTTCTGAATATCTCTGGCAGACTACAATTCCTAGGATTCTCTGGGGGAGATAACATTTAATATGGTATCAAACCCGATATATTTGGTACTATGGCTAGATCTTGAGTGTGTTATTTGTCTTGGTAGGGTAATGTCAATAAAATCTTCAGTCACTTGATGGGACGTGGGGAAGAGGAAACCAAGTCTGATGAAGAACAGTTAAAAGGGTTTGGATATGTGTAGGTTTGAGAAAGAGAATATTCTAAGACACATCATAAAAGCTGAAGCAGAATTATTTTCTGTTATTTAAGAGGGCAGAACTAGAACTAGTGTAAAAATCATAAGGAAACAGATTTTTCCTTAGGAGAAATTTCTTTAACATCAAAGCTGTTTGATGGTATAAGAGACAGTCTGAGTGTAGGGGGTTCTAGAGATATTGAAGCTGAGGCTAGACTGAATCCTATAATTTCAGGGTCCCTGCAGTGCACATTTCCAGTTCTAAAACTCTGATTCTAAATAGCCTTTAATATTTTGAACCCTTGGGAGAAACATCCAGTACTCCTTTTAAGGATACAGTACTGTATAGGCCACATTAATTTTCTTTTCCAGTTATCAATCTAAACTCTTTTGATCCATATTTTTTGTCAGGTTAATGAGAAGGAAAGCCAGGATGATAAAGATCTTCAGGAAGGCATGCCACCCAAGAAGAAAAAGAGGCGAGCCCGTCCAAAATCACTTTTCATCCCACCTCCTCCACCTGTTTGCAGTGAGATTCAACCTGGCACTGGAGGATGCTACCAGAGTAACCTTCGCTCACCTGTCTTCCTCATGGACCACCTTCTTCAAGGCTTAGTCCAGTGCTCCCCTTACACACCACCCCCAATGCTCAGCCCCATTCGTGAGGGCTCAGGGCTCTATTTCAACACTCTCTGCTCTACTTCTACAAATTCCGCTTCTACAAAGATGTATACCTCTGTTTTAGGTAATTACCTAGCCCTAATCCTGTGATATATCTGCACAAAGCCGCCCAATGCAGAATAAAACCACTGTGATTTGTATCCTCTTTCTCAGGCATTCAGCTGGGCTTGGATTCTTTTCCCCTGCTCCCTTACTTGAGATATTTTTATATGGGTTTCTGGGGAATTAAATCTGAGTCCTTTTATATGGGAAACATGTACTTTACCACTGTGTTTCGACCCCTTCCCACGCCAGCAAAAAAAAATGATCGGTTAGGTTACTGTTGAGACAGAATTAGTGGTGTAGAGCATATATGGAAAGAAATGGGTGTTTTGGGAGAAGCAGTTTAGGCATGCTGACAACAGCTCAGTGCAGAGTTTGGATTAAAATAAAAATTCTCAAGCATTCATGCTTTGACACTACAGGTAGTCCCCAGTTTAAGAACGAGTTCCATTCCCAAGGTCTGTCCTTAAGTTGAATTTGTATGTAAGCCGGAAGGGTATTGTATAATGCTGTATAAGTAGTAGTGTGTGATGAACTCCAACCATTGTGTATTTAACTCAAATCATTATGTATTTAACTCAGATTTTGCTACAATAGGCTCCATTCTTAACTATGGGTCATCCTTAAATCAGACATTCTTAACCCGGGGACTATCTGTATTTTAAAAGCAGACATTTTAGACTTCATTCCATGATAAAGATCCAGTGATTTAAATAGAATCTGCCCCCAAAGTATAAGGTGTGTCCCTCTTTCTGATTCTAGTCAGTCTTCCCCCAAGAAGAGTATACCTCTTTCTCTCTTTGAACTTACTCTATTTATCATGGCTGTTGAACATGGTTTATCCACACCGGACACCTGCGTTTTTATCTTTTTTTGCCCTGTTGGGCTTTTTAAAAAAATAATTAAACAAAAAGCTTTGTGATTGAAGCTGTAAATGAGCAGTGATAAATAGAAAAAACCATATTGGTCCCATGCTATGTCCTGCTGCTGAGGTTACAGATGAGAATGATAAAGGGAAGAGAAGGATTCTATAAACGTTTGTTTTGTTTCTAACTTGTGCTTTTAATTTTAGATGGAATGGATGGAGCCCTTTTATTCTCTCTTGTGAAAGATACTACCAAAATTAACATAGAACCGTAAGTGAAAGGATGACAGTACTGATAAATAGATGCAAGAACACTTACTTTCCCTCCTTTTTATTGATGTGTAGCTTGATGAGCATAGATCTTTTGACTGGTGCAATTCTTCTTCCATTTTTTTCTTCCATGTATTCTCTACTCATACCATTTCCCCTTGGCTATTTATTTAATTTATAGAAATGTTTTTATTCTACCTTTCAGCCTCACAAGGTGATTAGTAAAAACAAAAGACAAATTTGATGACATAATTGAAAACAAAATTAAAGCAGCTACCAGCAAACAAGTTAAAAGCTGGCAAAATCAAATTGCCTTGACTTTGCTTTAAAATTTATCAGTGATAATCCTAGCTTTTAGGAAAGGATTCCGTAATCAGGGTGCGTCCACTAAGAAAGGCTTCTCTGATCTCATTTGTGTCAATTAAAAATTCGCCAGTTAGAACGCATTTCCTGGGCTGCAGACTGCTTTCAAGGTAGCTCATAATTCCATTAGGCAACCACTATCTGACTGCCTTGCATGGTGCTTTGTTTACATTTTGACACAAAAAGAAGTTGTGCTCTTGCAAGATAGGAAATGTCGTTAAAGCAGACCGCTCTGGTTATCTCTTCTGATTTAAACAAACAGCATCCTGAGGAGAAGAATTAAAAGAGAACTTCTCACTTAGTATGTAATCTGAAACAGGCCAGTTTAATTCACACTAATAAGGACCACAGCATTTGCAGGAGAAGCAATTTGTTGAAGGAACTGTATTTCCAGGAAAATCCAAGTACTCTTTAAAAAGTATTGCATTCAAATCCATATTTTCGATACTCTCTGTCTTTCTCTCTCCTCTCATAGTACTTTGTATTCTGCTGTGGATCAGTACTCTTTTCTCCCTAGATAACAGCAGATGTGGATCAAAGTGCAGTTTGGAGTTGCTCTTGTTTGTTGTTGGCTTAGTTCTCTGCAAGACCTGACGTGTGAATAATCCTTCCTTTCCCTTCACCAACTTCCTTTAAAGTGAATTCCATTACCCAGTGCTGTTAGCAGTTGATGGGTACAGTTGATCGTTGAGCTTTCTGGTTGACTCAAGAATGAGGGATGTGGATTCAGTATAAAGCTGAGATGTGAGAACTTTTCAGTAGGTGCTTCTTTCTGCTAAAAGGGCAAGTAGAATATTCTCAACAGCCATGCAGTTAAAAAAAACAACAACAATTACCACTCCAACTTACTCAGGTTTATCCAGTGTCCTAAGACCAAACAAGATCAGTTTTATGAAGATAGAGAACTTTCTCTAACAAAAGTCTTCGTTAGATTTCCTTGCAACATCTCAAGGGTTCCCCTTGCCTCCAAAGCAGCATTTCCTTTGACTACCCCATGATACTTGTAAAGATTGGGATTGATAGAACCTAATCATGAATCCTGAACAAAAACAGCCTTCATTTTTTTCATCATAACATGTCTCCTCTTGATATTGAAATACATTCAGAATCAGTGTGAGGTTGGGATGCAGTAAGACCCCTCTTCCTGCCTCCTGAAACACATGACTCTCACCACTAAAAGCCTCTCTTCTAGAGCAATAAGAAAACCCTCTCTTTTAGTTGGTTTGCTACTGTATGCCTTTATATTGAATATGGTGGTATTTGGCTCAGGAAGGCTGGTATGGAATGGCTTAGTTTTGGCCTGTCAGCAGCTGGTTTTGGATTAAAGGTAGTGAGATGAGGATTGATGGACGTAATAGGCAGTTCTCGGCCTGAGAGGCACCATAAAAATTGTTTACACGATAGTGGCATAATTGTCCCGTGCAACAAAATAAACCTGTAACAGGGTTAGTCTCTGATAAATTCAAATTAGTTCAATGTAGGTCTTCCCAGAACAAAGTAGGTATCGAAGAACAAAGTGGAAATGTGTTTTCGTATCTGTTAACAATTGTTAAAATTACATTGCTACACTATAAAATGGTACCTTAAAAACTATTTACTTGAGTGCATAGAAAATTTAAACATGAATATTAATTGGATGCATGGATGTTTAATAGAAATGGAACATGCAATTTCTGGGTTTTTCATCAAAATTTCACAAAATTTGGCAATCTAGCTTAAAATCTTACAAGATTTGGGGTGAGAACAATGATGATTTCATAAGAGTTTGACTGTTTTTTATAGCACAGTGTAAATTTAACACCAGTTCTTCACATTTTCCGCCATATGTCCATATTTATATTATAACCAAAGTTTGCAGTCCATTTAACCATACAGTCTTTAACCTGTTCATCCTCTGTTTCAAATGTTAGTAATGATTTGTATATTTTAGCTACAGTATTTTTCAGTTAATAAGATGCCCG